CGAGAAAGTCGACTTCACAAATGTCAAGCCACGCATCGGTTCATTGGACAATGTCACACATACACCAAAATCAGGAGACGTAAAAATTTTCGACGAGAAAGTCGACTTTACAAATGTCAAGCCACGTATCGGTTCATTGGACAATATCAACCATGTACCTAAAGGCGGCGATAAACAAATCTTCACCTCTGTTCCTAAACACGACCACATTAAATCTCGCATCGGATCTTTTGACAAATTTCATCATGTACCACAAGGTGGAGACTTTAAAATCTTTAATCAGAAACTGAACTTCCGTGAAACCGCCGCCCCAAAAATAATAACTCGTTCCAACTCAAGTGCCTATGAATCTTCTTTAAGTGGTGATGATAGGTCCCTTGTCCATAGTCCAATACCACGAGAACAAGACGAAGATGTTGAGGAACAAGAAAAGTATAGAAACGTTGACGAAAATAGTAATGATAATGATTTTAAAAAAGTTATTAATTCACAAAAAATATCATCAAATGTGACAGAAAGAGTCAAATCAATCTTTAACAAAAATAAGATATCAATTAATGAAGATATAACGATTCTTCAAGAAAGTTTTGAAGAAGGTGGTGAAGAATATGAAGAAGAATATGAAGATGAATCAGATGCTTCTTCAAATGTCGAAGACCCAATTGATGTAGTACAAGAAGAAACCGTTCCTCAAGAGTTGAACGATACAGAATTATTATTTGAAGTTAACGTGTCAAGAAAAACAGTTCTTCTAGCTCAGCATGAATCAATCGTCGAAGAATCAATCGTCGAAGAATCAATCGATGAACCAGTTCCTTCGTCTTTAAATACTATCGAGATTCCACCTGAAAATGAAAATAAAGATTTAACTCAACATCAACAACGTTTATACAATGAATCTTGGATATAATAATATTAATTGTATTTTTGTTATTTATATATTTATATAATATTATTATAAAAATAATTTAATGTCAATAATTATCAATCTACTGTATGTTAATATGTATATTATTTATTATTCTAATTATTATTTATTATGTTATATTTTTTGAATGAATTCATATTTTAGCAAAGAAATAATATGTTTAAAAAATAAAGTGTGATTTTCGTGGCCGGCCAAAGTCCTCACTAACATGGTAAAATACATAGAACTCATTCCATAACGAATAATTTTTTGGAGAAAAAAAGATTTTGATATAAATAATAGCAATAGAAACTATAAAAGAAGCTAATACTAATGCAAATTTACACAAAGAACACTTAAAGAACGACAACTCTCCCCGATCAAATAAAGTTTATTGTATCGAGAGAATCAAAATCTGGGGAAATTGTTAAAAAATATCCTACACAACAAATAATTGTATCATTTACATTGTTAACAAATCATTATTAATTAAGTTTTATTGAATCTTGAAACTTGGGCCATAAACGTAAGATAAAAAAAAGCCACCTCATAATAAATGTAATGTAGAATTTATTAAATTGATTGTATATATAATAATAAACTTTTTTACTCAATAATAATAATAATAATGTTGTTATTCTGTCTACCTTGTTTTCAGCCTCCAAGCGCCAAAGTATATTAATATTAATATTCAATTAGGGAGAAGAAAATGATAATTGATATATCAAATAAGACCAAAAATTCAACATCCCCTATTATTAAACATTTTTCTTCTATTTTCTCCCGCAGATTATGAACGACTCGTTCGTAAGAAAATTGACTGACAACCAATTTATTTATCGTTTACTTTTTTTACCAGTTGACTGTTTCCACATAAAGTTTCTCTTGAAAAAATAGATCTTTATTAAAATAAGTAAGCAGTTCGAGTATATTAATATATATTTATTTATTTACGTTCAATACTTTCAGTCACATATTACTATATTATGCAATTATAAAAAAATTCTATACACTTATTGAAGAAACAGTAATAATGAAATTATATATAGGTGTATATATTAGATTATATTCTATATGATTCCTTCGTACATGTATTACTAGTATTACCATGTTTAAAAAAAGAATTTCTTTATTTTAACATAATTTAAAATGAATTATTTAAATAAATATATACTACTTATTTATATATTAAAAATGGTGATTAGAGTAGTTTAATATACTCGTAGGTATATATTTAGTCAACAATCTATGTATCCATTCCTATATTTATAATACAAAGTTACTACCACTATATTTAATGCTGCAGTTGTCAGTATCCCCAGAAGGATCATCAACTCATATTCTCCAAGAGAATCAAAATAATCACTGCTACCGCCAAAGATAACACCTGCAGGCAAAGCAAGTTCTTTATTGTTATCAAATGGGATATTTTTACCGGGGATGTTCTTTGTGGTGTTTTGAACCTCAAGTATTTTATAACTGTAATTCCTCCTATGCTCACCAAGTCTGCCACCTATCTCTATGATTTATTCATTGGCAGTGAAATCGATTAAATCTTGTTCAAATCTACCTCCTTCACTTATGGCCTATATGATCATGTGATAATCTTTATCACTGCATTATGTCTATCATAGACAAATCGGATAGAATCTACAACAACATCCCCCGATTCTTTTAATATCAAATTCCGGGTTATCAATAATATATTCAAAGCCATCATGGTGAGTCTATATCTTGCCTCCCTCCATTTTTGATACACTTTTTACAGTTATTGTTATGATATTTATGTTTATTTTGATTACTATATAAGCAACTTTCTCACTAAAAACTATCTATATGTTTATTTTACATTAATTACCTAACATTCAGCGATAAAAAAGTTGTAATAAAATCAAAGGAAAGATGATAAAGTTGTAAGGTAATTTTAATGCAAATGTTTAAAAAAAAAAAAACCAACATTAAACGGAAGAAAGCTATCAAAAAAAGGCCAAAAATAGTACTAGTACTTTAAAGAACTGGTGTTCCTGATTCATCGGCTGAAATTGTTAGATCCAAATTGTATTATTATTGTGGTATTATTTATAATCTCCATACACTTACAGTGCAATCTATAAAGCTATGATTTCCAGAAGACAACATGTTAGTGTGAGAGCTTTCTTTAATTAGTAGGATGATCGTTCTGTCCTTTTTTTGAAGATAGACTTTCACTGTTTGCCCTATTAAGTCGAGCATCATTGACTTACAATCTCAAACAATGAATGATTAAAAGTCTCTTAAATAGGTCGTGTAGAGGATGAAAGTATCTTCATTGTTAGTATTTATAACTTTTAATATAGGCAGTGACTGTTGTGTTTTCAGGATCACATTAGTTAAAGGAAAAATTGAAGGATTCGTTGATAGTATGGCGCCATGTTGCTAATTGTAGATAAAACAAGTGGTTTTTTTCTTTATTCTATAAATAATTATTATAAAATAAATTCCAAATATTCATTAATTTCATATAAAAAGTAAATTCCAAATATTCATTAATTTCATATAAAAAGTAAATTCAAAATTAGATAACTTTACGCATTTGTAAGGAACATTTTATTAGAAAAGTGTGCCTTTAGAATTGACGACACTTCTGTTTCTAAGAAATAAATAAATTCTATTTTTAATTAATTAAAATTCTATCCGTTTCTTTTTTTCATGCTTATTTAGACACTTTTTTTTGTTACTGTTTCCATCTAAAAAATAATTAAAAGTGTCATTTCTCATATTGATTTTCGCAAAAAATTTATTTTCTCGGTATATTGTTCCCTTAGTATTATTTTACAAAAACAAAGTGAACGATGATTATTATATAGCCTTTTTTATTCCAGTGAATCAAATAAAGTTTGCTTACTGAATAATAGTTACATAAACAAGTCCAAAAAAAGAAAATAATTTCGGAGTTATTAATATATTAATATATGCTAATTAATATTATTGATTGAAAATACATTATCTATAAATATCAATAAAATAAGTCTACGAGAGAAAACTCTTTTATTATTCGATATGAACAAAGGATCTCTATTAAACCAAAACAAGAAAATGATATTGACTTTATTTTCACTCCTTCCACTTGTGACAGCATCTATCGTCGACGAAAATTATGAATCTGAACAGGATGTGTACGATGCAATTATTAACACGTTCTTTCCAATTTTTTTTGTTCTTCAATTCAATGTTTCAGGGAAAACTGGACCCATCAAAAGAGTGCTGTTACCATTACTCGATGACTTATTATACAACACTGTCACTTGGGTGATTCCGCTGGCAGTTTCTTTGGCCTATGATGATTTGCAGAGTATAAAGATATTTTCATTTGTAAACATGGGTTTACATGTAACTTGCGCAGTAGCCGCGATAATTAAGAATAAAACAATGGAAGATACACCTGATTATTTTATAATTATCTATTTATTCATGCTATTTATCCCAGCGATAGTAATTCCAACATTCTGGATTGTTATTATTACAACTAGACATCTTTTTGATCCAATTAGTATAGTATTCCTTACATTATTTGTGATATTGTTAGCTAAATTATTCATTTCTTTTATACAATGTTGTCTTGAGGATTGTTATGACTTAAAGAGATTGAAACAAGTATTTGAATCGAAGTTTGTTTTTATATTATTTTCTCCTGGATGGTTTTATTTCCCGAATATTCTGCAAACATTATTTATTGTGTTAAAATGGCCAATCGATTTTTACTTTGTCAAAGCATGTGTGTTTATACTGGTTCTCTCTTTAACAAGAAGTTTGTCCTTCTTTACAAATGAGAAACCAGCACCTGATGACTTTCTGGCTACTTCAACAACAATGACTCAATATTGGCTGCGCAAAGCAGTAGATAGAGGGCTAAAGGAGGATGAAAGTCAAAAGGAAATAATTGAAGAAACGAACAAATCAATGGCTGAAAGGATGGATAAAATAGAAAAATCAATGGCTGAAATGTACAAATCAATGGCTGGAAGGATGGATAGAATGGAAAAATCAAGACATATTGATGAAATTGTGTGCAAAATAGATAAGCCACAATAATAATAATAGTAATTTAACATTTAAAAAGGACTATTGTGCTGGGTGACTTTGTCATTAACAGTATACGTGTATTTATTTACATTATATATAGCATATTTACATTTTTGTTGTTATTTAATAAAAACATAGCTCAACCATATTCCAGATAGAAATATACCCATTTCCAAATATCCATAATAAAAAAGATCTAATTTTCATGTTATTATTATTGTGGTATATTATTTATAATCTACATAAAAAATTACGGTGCAATTTATGATGTACAGGGGACAATCAATAATGTTGGTGTGAAAAGCTTTTTTTAATTGGTAGGATGATTGCTCTGTCTGAAGATAAACTTCACTATTTGTCCTATCAAGTCAAGCGTCATCGAGTCGCACAATTCAAATCTAAAACAAGAAAATTCTTACCAAACAACGAATGACTAAATTCAAGTAGGTCGTGTAAAGTAAGATGAATGAAAGTATCTTCATTGTGTTGGTATTTGCAACTTTTAATATAAGCAGGGAAGAAAGCCGTTGTGTATTTTCAGGATCGCATTAATTGAAGGGGAAATTGAAGGATTCGTTAATTGTAAATAAAGTAAATAGGTTTTTTTCTTTATTCTATAAATAATAATTATTATTACTATTCATTAATTTCATATAAAAAGTAAATTCAAAATTAGATAGACTTTACGTATTTGTGCCTTTAGAATTGGCGACACTTCTATTTTTAAGAAATAAATAAATTCTATTTTTAATTAATTAAAATTCTATCTGTTTCTTTTTTCATGCTTATTTGACACTTTCTTTTTGTTACTGTTTCCATCTAAAAAATAATTAAAAGTATCATTTCTCATATTGATGATTTTCGCACCAGGTAAAAAATTTATTTTCTCAGTATATTGTTCTCTTAGTATTATTTTACAAAAACAAAGTGAATAATGATTATTATATAGCTTTTTTTATCCGAGTGAATCAAAATAAAGTTTGCTTACTGCATAGTAGTTACATAAATAATTCCAAAAAAGAAAATGATTTCAGTTATTAATATATTAATATATACTAATTAATACTTATTGATTGAAAATACATTGTTTATAAATATCAATAAAATAAGTCTATGAGCGAAGCTTTATCCTATTTATTCGATATGAACAAAGGAACTCTATTCAACCAAAGCAAGAAAATGGTCTTGGCTTTATTTCTACTCCTTCCGCTTGTGACAGCATCTATCATCGACGAAAATTATGAATCTAAACAGGACGTGTATGATGCAATTATTAATACGTTCTTTCCAGTATTTTTTGTTCTTCTATTCAATGTTTCAGGGAAAACTGGACCGATCAAAAATATACTGTTACCATTACTCGATGACTTATTATACAACACTGTCACTTGGGTGATTCCGCTGGTAGTTTCTTTGGTCTATGATGATTTGCAGAGTATAAAGATATTTTCATTTGTAAACATGGGTTTACATGTAACTTGTGCAATAGGAGCGATAATTAAGCATAAAAAAGTTGATGATTGTCGCTATCTCACTTCTTTTGATTTTATCTTTACTTTCTTGGTATTGTTCCCAGCGATAGTAATTCCAACATTCTGGATTGTTATTATTTCAACTAGACATCTTTTTGATCCAATTAGTATAGTATTCCTTACATCATTTGGGATATTGTTGGCTACAATATTCATTACTTTGATACTATTTTTTTTTGCAAAGAATGGATTAAAGAGAAGATCAATTAGATTATATAGGGTATTTGAATGGATTGCTGCTACTATAATATTTCCTGGATGGTTTTATCTCCCAAATATTCTGCAAACATTATTTATTGTGTTAAAATGGCCAATCGATTTTTACTTTGTCAAAGCATGTGTGTTTATACTGGTTCTCTCTTTAACAAGAAATGTGTCCTTCTTTACAGATGAGAAACCAGCACCTGATGACTTTCTGTCTACTTCAACAACATTCACTCAATATTCCCTGCGTGAATTAATAGATAGAGAGCTAAAGAAGGGTGAAAGTCAAAAGGAAATAATTGGAGAAACGAACGAATCAATGGCTGAAAGGATAGATAAAATAGAAAAATCAATGGCTGAAAGGATGGATAAGATAGAAAAATCAATGGCCGAAAGGATGGATAAAATGGAAAAGTCAAGACATATTGATGAAATTGTGTGCAAAATAGATAAGCCACAATAATAATAATAGTAATTTAACATTTAAAAAGGACTATTATGCTGGGTGATTTTGTCATTAACAGTATACGTGTATTTATTTACATTATATATATATCAAATTTACAATTAAACATAGCTTAACTATATTCCCGATAGAAATATACCCATTTCCAAATATCCATAATAAAAAAGATCTAATTTTCATGTTATTATTGTTGTGGTATATTATTTATAATCTACATAAAAAATTACAGTGCAATTTATGACGTACAGGGGACAATCAATATGTTGGTGTGAAAAGCTTTCTTTGATTGGTAGGATGATTGCTCTGTCTGAAGATAAACTTCACTATTTGCCCTATCAAGTCAAGCATCATCGAGTTGTACAAATCTAAAACAAGAAAATTCTTACCAAACAACAAATGACTAAATTCAAGTAGGTCGTGTAAAGTAAGATGAATGAAAGTATCTTCATTGCG